ATTGTTTGCCCTATTTCTCTCTCAGTGAGTCTGTCATTCGTATAGAGGGAAGCTATTGATTTTTGTGTGTTGACCAGAGCCCAATGGGTTTTGCCAAATATGTAATGACCATTAGAGCACCACACAGAGCATTTCAGTGCCCTAAAATTCTGCTGTGCTCTACCTATTCACCCCTCCCTCTCACACCAACCTCTAGCAACCACACATCTTTTTACTATTTTTAGAGATTTGCTTTTTCCAAAATGCTATATAATTGGAATCCAATAGCATGTAGTCTCTTCAGACTGGCTTCATTCATTAAGCAGTATGCATTTAAAGTGTTTAAAGTTCCTCCATGTCTCTTCCTGGCTCAACAGTCCATTTCTTTTTACCACTAAGAAATATTTCACTGTCTAGGTGTACCTCCAAGTGTTTATCCATCCATCTGTCCATCCACTGCAAGATATCTTAGTCACTTCTAGTAGCTGGTGATTATAAATAAAGCTGGTTTGTGTGCAGGGCTTGTGTTTTCAACTCAGCTGAACACATATCTAGGAGTGTGGTTGCTGGACCCTAAGGTAAGAAAGAGTATGTTTGGTTTTGTAAGAAACTGCAGCAGTGTCTTCCAAGGTGGTGCCATTTCACATTCCCACCAGCAGGGAATGAGAGTTCCTTTGCTCTACATCCTCACCAGCACTTGGTGTGGTTTTGTTTTGGGACTTTAGCCATTCTGACAGGTGTGTCTCAGTTGCTTTTTAAAAGAGCAGTCTTACTCCCCGTTTCCAAGTCTTATTTTGAGGGTAAATTAAAGGCCTTGTAACAAAACTCTTCTGAGAGCCAGATGAATTTCACAGCCCATCCTCCCTTCTCTTGCTCCTCTCAGCTCAGTCCTCCTCCTCAGGGTCATGAACACCTGTGACTCTAGGCTGTCACAAACCCTTCGCAACAATAAGCCAACACTTCCTCACTCTCTTTTTTGCTCCAAAAAAGGCCTTCTCTTTTCCCTTCACTTACTCAAGCACTTCATTTGAAGCCCAGCTTGACCTGGTATCCAGCATGTCTGCTCTGTCCTTCATCCACCTACTCTGGACTTATTGTCCTACTACCTCACTGTATACTCAGTCCAAGAGACCTGGAAATTGCGAGTG